CAAGTTAAATATTCAAATGCGTAAAAAAAAATTGTCTAAATATGAAACATTTTTTTTTTACAAAATTTTTAAGACTTTATATAATTTCTTACAACATTTTTATATGATTTTTTTTCTTATAGTTTTTTTAATACAATGTTTTAAACTTTACTTATTATTTTTTTTAACTTTTCTTATACTTTTATATAATTGTCATACAAATGCTTTTAAATCAAGTGTTTTCTGAATCTTTTAAATTTTTCTTACAATTATTATTATTATTATTATTATTATTATTATTATTATTATTTTTACATTTTCATATAATTTTCATAAAATTATTTCTAAACTTTCTTTTACAACATTTTTAAAACGTTTATAGATTTTGTATGAAAATTTGATACTTTTTATAACATTTTAAAATGCTTTCGTTTAATACTAGTTTAGAACGTTATATTAAAAAAAATAAAAAAAAAATTTAAAGTTCTAATTAAAAAGTATAAAAAATTTGTAATAATTTTGAAACATCTACATTATATAGATTTTTTTTATTTGCTACATAATATTTTATTTTTATTTTTTTAAAAGACTCCATAGTTATTATTACATATTTAATTTATTTACTTTTATTGTTGGACACTATTTACTTTAAAAATATTGCATATGCTTAAAAACAAAAGAAAAAAAATGTATAAGAGGCTATATAAAATATTTCATAAAAAACATATTCATAAATTAAAAAGTAAAATTTAAAATTGATCAATATTTAATTAATATTTATGATAATAAGTTTTTGCTAAAAATAAATTAATAGAAAATTGATTTGTCAAATCAAAAGACTATAAATTGGATAAATAATCAAGACAAAACTTCAAAAATGGTCCCTGTGGTTTCCGAAAATATCAAGTTTAGTCCCTAAGTTCAAAAAACCTCACAGATGGTCCTTGTGGTTTCAAAACTTTTAACAAATGATCCTTTTCGCTAACTCCGTTAACATTTAGCCGTTAAGTGAAGGGCATTTCTGTCATTTCACAACCACAGGGACCATTTATGAAGTTTTGCCTTAATTTTTTTTAAAAAGAAAAATAAATATAATTATTTAATATTAAAGGCCCCACCCCTCTCTCTCTCTCTCTCTCTCTCTCTCTCTCTCTCCAACAACCCCACCATTATTCCCTTCCTGATTTCCGATTGAGAGGTTTGATTCGTGGTTTCTAATTGAGGGATCAAGTTTCAGCTACTAATAATCTCCAACATGTATAATATAGTGGGGATAGTGTTCATCTGTTTTTGGTTCTTGGGCACAACTTGTTGAAATTGTCGTGTCGTTTGGTTCCTGAATTGTACATCTTGATCTCTCAACCTACTTGTTTCTTAGATCTGGAAGATAAGAACCCAGCAATGAAGATCGATGAAGAATTTACACATACAAACGCGATTTGAATCTTACCTTTGATTCTTGTGAAGAAATAACGTTTCAAGAAGGTTGGTAGAAGATGCTTGCGTCATTAAAGAAGATGAACAATTTTGCTGTGTGTTCCAACGTTTGTCACCACTAGTGAAAATGAAAACCACCATGGAGATTACTTTTCCCATCGATTTTTGGATCTGGGTCTTAAGCCACCACCACCTGAGTTTGTTAAGGTGGGTGGTGATGAAAAAGCAGGGGCAGTAGGAGGTGGGATTTTGTGTATGGTTTTTATTCTAAATCTATCTTTCTCCATCTCCGTTTCAGGTCTGGAATTAAGAACTTAATTCATTCCTAAAATACTTCTAATCGAGGTTCTGTGACACCTAACATCGACCCCAAGACACACACAATGAAGCTTTTTAATGTGTAATTAGATATCAACAATAGTAGCAAATCGTTTTCTAGAAGTGTGTGGGGAACTTGAGTTGTAGGTGAAGAACGGGGAAGAAGATGATGGAGTGGTGGTGTTGTTTCGTCTTTATAATTGAAAATCTCCTATTCTCAATCGTTTTCTGGTTATGTATCATTCAAACCTTCAAATCAATGATAAATAAAAGGAAGAAGGGGGTTTTAAATTTAGATCTTTCTTGATGTGAATGAATGTTACAGATGTTATAGATGTGTTTTGAAAGAGAAGAATAAACCGATCGAGTTGCACAATCTAGTCTTTCTTACGAGAGAGAGAGAGAGAGAGAGAGAGAGAGAGAGAGAGAGAGAGAGAGAGAGATGGGGGTGGGGCCCTTTAATATTAAATAATTATATTTATTTTTCTTTAAAAAAAATTAAGGCAAAACCTTCATAAATGGTCCATGTGGTTGTGAAATGACTGAAATGCCCTTCACTTAACGGCCAAAAGCTAACGGAGTTAGCGAAAATGACAATTTGTTAAAAGTTTTGAAACCACAGGGACCATCTGTGAGGTTTTTTGAACTTAGGGACTAAACTTGATATTTTCGGAAACCACAGGGACCATTTTTGAAGTTTTGTCAATAATCAATCAATATAGATCCGCTAAAAATAATGTTTGGAAAAATAATACAAAAAAAATATATGAAAAACAAAATTGTTATTAAAAATGAGGAAAATAACTTATCAAGGTAATTAACTTTTAATTTTGTTCACATTTAGGCAATTTTTGTTTTTTGTACATATATGAGCATTTAACTTGTTAAAATCACATGTAATAATGGTAACATATGAACACATTTAACAAGTTAAATGCTCAAATATGTACAAAAAAAAAAGTTCCCTAAATGTGAACAAGACAAAAAAATAATTACCCTCCCAAGTCATTTTCACGCTATAAAATAAGTCACATATCCCTTATCCCTTGGATCGAATAAATTTTCTTCTTGAAATTCAATACTACATTTCCATCAAACTTTTCATGTACATGTAAATGTAAAAAAAGTAAAAGTACATACATCTTTTAAACCTAAATCATATTCGGATAATTTAAAACAAAGTTAGAATTTGACAGGGCAAAAAAAAAAAACATGTGATTTCTGTTGTGCAATAATACTACAGCCTTTACTAATTTGCCTTCTTTTTTTTTGCTTCCAACTCCTCTCATGTTAATGAATTAATATTGTCAAAATTCATAAATATGTGAAAACCCTTTGGTTGGAATGTAAGGGTAAAATGGTCATTTTGTCTTATTCAGACACACACTATTCAATCCATAGAAGAAAAAGATCGTATGTTCCAACACTTCATACAATGGTTTGCCACTTTCTCATGTATTGGAAGCTACCTTTGCTGACATGGACAAGTTGATGAGTTGGACACCTATGTGGCAAAAAAATTCAAATCAACCAAGAACTACAATGTGCGATATTTGATGAAATATCAAGCAATCCAAATTTATTTTTTAACTTAAAGGTGAATTGAAGCCATTTTCATCCATATTTGTGAAATCAACTTATGTTCCATTGATAGTTGTAAACACCAGAGAGAAGAGCCCCTATAGAGATCACGTAACATTTAAAATGCCTCAAAGAAAAATAAGCTAACATTTAAAATGAGTAAATGAACTATTGAGGGAAATAGTAATTACAAACTACAAAGAATAAATTACAAAAAAGATAAAACTTTAGGGTGCGTTTAGTTGCGGAAAAATGGGCCGTTTTCCAGAAAAATTTTCCAAGAAAAATTCTCATTTTGAAAACGCGTTTAGTTCGTCTATTTTTCTAAATTTTTCACGGAAAATGAAATTTTTCCGTTTTTAAAATTACAAAGAAGTTAGAAATTTTTGGAAAACCGATAAGCAGGGTGCCAGATTTTTCTAAGGCCAAAAGGGGGCGAAAAGATAAATACCCACGCCCCACCCAGCCACCTCTACCTACCCTCACCTTAATACCCCCAACCCACCACACCCCTACCTACCTACACTCACTCCCAAGCCCACCCCCACCCCTACACACACACACACACACACACACACATACACACCCACACCGTCACAAACATACACACACCAACCCCCACAAACACACACACACACCCCCACCCCCACCCCCACCCCACAAACACACACACCCACCCCCACAAACACACACTCACAAACACACACACACACACACCCACAAACACACACCCCACCCCCACCCCCCCCCCCCCACCCACACCCACACCCCCACCCCCCCCACACCCCACACCCACACCCACACCCCACAAACACCACACACACACACACACACACCCACCCACACCCTCACAAACACACACACACACACCCACAAACACACACACCCACCCCCACAAACACACATCCACCCCCACCCACACCCCACAAACACACACACACACACACACCCACAAACTCACACCCACACCTACACCCACACCCACACCCACCCCACACCCACCCACCCACCCCCGCACACACACACACACACACACACCCAACACCACTACCACAATCACCGACCTACCATCACCACCACCACTACCCCATCACTAGCACCACCACCGCCGCCATCACCACCACTGCCACAATTGCCGACGCCACAATCACCGCCTGTCATCACCACCACCGCCTGTCATCACTACCACCGCTGCCACCGCCACCACCACCACCACCGTCGCCATCATCGACACCACCACTGCCCCCCGCCGCTTCCCCCATCACCGCCACCGTCCCCACGCCCACCCTACTACCGCTACCGTTTTCTAAAAATAAAAACCGATAGAAAAATACACATCTAAACACGTTTTCTAATTTTCTAAAACTGAAAATGAAAAATGAATAAGTTTTAACTAAACGCGTTTTCTAAATTTTCCAATGAAAACCGAAAACGGAAAACTGAAAAGGGAAAACGAAAAACAGAAAATGAAAACTGTTTTTCCGTAACTAAACGCAGCCTTAATGGCTCCAAAAACATATTTCATCAAACATAACTGAACCTATTGTAATGATAATCAACTGAATCTGAAATAATACCTTCAAAAACCTTGGACACCATTAAATGGCATTGTAGCTATATTCCTCATTAAAGTAAGATGCTATAACAAACATCTTGATGAAAGTAAATTGCTAAAAAACATATGATCAAGATATACCAGAGTTGAAGACATGAAGATCCAACAAAGTATTATAATACCCTTTCTCTATTTCCTCTTCCTTCACTTCATGAAGCAACAATGTTTCAATAACAAAATCTTCCCAATCAATATCAACTTTCTTTGCCTTTCGTTTTCTCTTTCTTGAATTTACAGAGAGTTGACTTTGACCACTCTCATCATCTAAACCATTTTCAGCAATTGGTGGACGCCTTATCTTCTCAATTCTTATCGTAGCAGCCTTTATCTTCTTTTTTCTTTTTTGGATTTTCAAACATCCATCAATGAAAGATTTAGGCATAGCATTTAAACCAACATCTTTTTCCAATATTTTATCAAGAAAAAGCTTCTTGCTTAATTCAGAATTCCCACTCCAATACTCAGCCCCATCCATTAAAAAATCATATCTTTCACTTCTTTTTTCATTCCTATTCTCTAGTGTCGCCATTGATGACTTCATTTCAGAATATTCATTCAAGTATTTCAAGTAAATAGTGGATAAACATTCGGGTGAAATGTTAAGCTTCTCCAAATCTTCAACTTCCCAATCGATTGAACCCCGTGATTTATTATTATCATTATTATTATTATTATCATCAAACTCAAAATCTTGAACAAAATATCGTCCATCTTTATTCAAACAATCACTGACTAAACCATCCAAATCTGCACCTACTTCCTCCAAATTCTTGATTTTGTTTGTGGGATTAGACATTGATTTCATCTCCATGTATTGAATAACTATTGGGGCGTTCTTCATGATGTTCTTGACATTCACATCATTCCCCCATGGAAGACGAATTCTTGCAACCTCCACTAACTTCTTCAAGAGTTCATTGTACCTTAATTTGCAGGTTGCAACCACCACGTTCAATTGAGAAGCTAAATCTTCAAAATCAACATCGACAACATCATTAAGTTGACAAACGAAAATAATCACAGCCACCACCACAGGCACCGGCCTCCTCCCTGTTGTCACATACCACTTAATCATACACTGAATCAAGAAAATCCCTTGTTTCACCATTCTTCCAATTTTATCCTTCCCGATGTTACCCTTGCCCCCAAGAAGCTCTTTCATCACTCGATCGAACAACCCCACTATATCAAAGTCCGGCAATTTCAAATCAAGGTGATCGATAACGCGGTATACCATTCGACCTAACTCATAGTTATCGCAACCAACGGTTTCACATACGCTCGTTAAAGGTAACCACTTGTTTGCTTTTCGCATAACTACGTATATACAGGCGCCGACGAGGACATTGAACCAATTTCCTGAACCGTATTCTTCTTCGGTTATGATCTTTATCATGTTGTTAACCTCATCGACACGATTTTCTAAATCAAGTTTGTATAATATATCTGAGACGACTTTTTGAGCTAAGTAGATCTTGGTTTCACGATAAGAGTAATCATACCGGGATCCAGAAGTGCCTAATCGGACGTTGGTGCCGATTATTCCGTCGGCGTTGAAGGTTTGTTGTTCATAGTTGTCGAAATCTTGGACGACGCCGCATGAAGAGCATTCAAGATTCCCGGTGACAGTGTCGACATTTAGGTTTTTCGATTTGCAATTCTTGCAAGAACCCATGAAACTGAAATTGGTCACTAGTGTCGATGCAGCGGGGGTGGGGTTTGTTTGCCGACCAAGGAGAAGGAGAAAGAGGGTTTAGATTGTTTGAATTTTGGGCTAACTAAACAAAAGCCCTCCTATTTTAATTTTAATTTTTTTTAACCCCGTATTTTATTAGAGTAGTGTTTATCAAAATTGTTAGTAAAAATGGTAATGAATAAATAGCTGGTAATTAAAAGTTAGTAGTTTTTATTTGTTAATGAATATTTGCTAAAAAATTGTTAGAAACTTTTAAAATGTATAAAATTATTTAAAAAAATAATATATAAAAAAATATATATAAATATACTTTTTAGGAAAATTATAGAAATTGATTTTAAAACCTCAATAGTTTTTTTTTTAAATGTTACATGAAATATTTTTAGATTTGAAATTCTTTGTTTAAACTAAAAACTAATTATTTTTATTCCTAAAGGAAGTTTTTTGTTAAAATCTAAAACTAGAAGTTTCAAAATGTTCGCTGCCAAACACTCCTAAATCCTTAGCGGTCCTTTTTTAATTATTTGTGACTTTAGAGCACTCATATTTTGGAGAAAAAAAAATCATGATGGCGGCGACCTTTTATTGTCGATTTAGCTAGTAGAAAACATGATAAGATAGAGTTTTTTATTTAAGTTACTTAAATTAATATATTTATTAGTTATCTATAACACCATACTAAAAAAAAGAAAAAAATAATAAAAAAAAAATTGTATTTTTTGTTTGAAAAAGTTGTTTAAGGGAATTTTGTTTATTATTTTGGGAAATCTCCAGAAAAGTCATTAAATTTTAGTCCAATTTATGATAAAGTCTCAAACTAAATTTCGTTTACAGAAAAGCACAGAATACCGGCTAAAACTTCGAAAAAACCCTTTTTGGCCGGTTTCACAGATTTAGCCGGTATTCTGTCCTTTTTCGTTAATTTCCTCAAAATTTTGGGACTTTTTCGGAAATTACCTGATAACCAAAATATTGAGACTTTTTTGAAAATTACCATGGAATTAATGGATATTATTATTAACAAATCATTTATAAACATAACAAATATTTTTATTTTAAAAAAGGAAATACACTTGTTGCTAATTTCTATGAATAAATTGGTGGTCTAAGTACTCCTCTATTGCTTATTGACCACATCAAACTCTTTATGATGCTCCAATGCATCGTTGTGGGTATGATGGTGAGACGTACTCAGTGAGTGTTCCTCTAATGTTGGTGTTCCTCTGATGTTGTTTAACCTAACTACCACTCAACATACATTCCTCACATGGTAACAACCATAGGCTAACACACATCTATTAAATGTGAGAAAGTTAATCGTGAATGATAGTTTATATGGAAACAAGTAAATGGTGATTATCTAGTTAAATTGTCATTCAAAGTTTACTTTTCACTATATGTGTAATTTGATGGTTGTTATCGACTAGTGTAAGGAGGTTAAGTGGTTGTAACGTCTGGTTCCTGGTATGTATTTTAACTTATTAATTATGCAATTTTAATAGATCAACTCGACGAGTTGGTAGCCGCAACTCGTCGTGTTGAAAAGTTTTGGACCGCATGTTTTAAGTGACCAACTCGACGAGTTGGGAGGCCTCAACTCGACGAGTTTGGGTGTGTCCCGATTCTGTTGAAAAAGGAAGAACTCGACGATTTAAGGAAAAACTCGACGAGTTGATTCGAAATATCGCGATTCTGTGAATTATGGGAACTCGCCGAGTTGAAGGATGACTCGACGAGTTGAGTCAACTCGGAGCATTGACTTTGACTTTGATTTGGATGTTTACTTTGACTTTGACCGGGATATTACTCTGATTTTTATGGATTTGGATTTATGACTTATGTACATGTTCGGATGTTTTGACAAATATCGTTTATTTAGTATTTCTAAAATGAAATTTTTGGGACCGTGTTTTTAGTATGTTACAGTGGTATTTAGATTAAAGAACATAATGATAGATCTATATGTTCAATAATCATTGTGTAATGATAATCTCTAATAACATGTGATCCTATAATGTCACACCTAGTAGCAAGTAGACACTTATTGATTGTGTATTAATAAATATTATCAACTCTTATTTAACTGAAGAAACATACATAGTACATCTCACTATGACACCCACAACGATACATAGGAGAAACATAGGGAGTTGGAAGTGGTCAGCAAACAATAAAGAAGTACCTAGTCGACCATTGTATTCCTAGAAATTAGAAACAAATGTATTTCCTTTGTTTATAAAAAAAATATTTGTTATGTTTATAAATGATTTGTTAATAATAATATCCATTAATTTCATATTAATTTTCAGAAAAATCCCAATATTTTGGTTATCGGGTTATTTTCAAAAAAGTCTTAATATTTTGAGCAAACAAACGAAAAAGGACAGAATACCGGAAAAATCTACGAAACTGGCCAAAAATGGTTTTTTCGAAGTTTTAGTCGGTATTTTGTGTTTTTCTATAAACAAAATTTAGTTTAGGATTTTTTTCATAAATTGGATAAAGAGCACTCATATTTTGTTTATGATTGTTGTCATAAATGTTTTTCACATTAGACTACATATTTCTCGTTATCTTTATCCTTTGTCTTTGTTTCTCCTTTTCTTTCTCATTTCCAACCCTAGCCGCGTGGAATCGGGAAGAAAGAATGTATGTAACGTACAGTTAAAACCATTTACTTCCCATGTTACACTACTAGCTAGGGGTGGCAAATTTAGCTATCGTGTCGTATTTTTGTCTGACACGATACGAAATGACAAAGTTTTATGTAACGCGAACACGATACGACACGACACGACAAAGATAACATAAAATAACAATTAGTTTATTTAATTAATATTTAATCATACATAACACGACAAATAAATGTTAAATCGTGTCAATTTCGTGTCGAATTTTGAACACGAACACGATACGACATCGTGTTTTTTACACTTGACACGAATACAACACGAACACGAATTCGAATTTCAGTTTCGTCCCACTTTTGTTATGTGTCGTGAATTTTTGTCGTATCGTGTCATCGATTGTCACCCCTACTACTAACGGCTCGTATTTTCACACGTAGAGTCATAGAAAGCTGGAGGGTCCAGATAGAGATCACGAGGTAAAGAAAACTTTCCTCATGGTCAAAGAAGAAACGAGTATGATTATACTGGTCTGATATAACTTTAAAACAATTTTACAATTTTTCTCCTTAATCTTTCTTTTATTGATCATTGATTTGTGAGTTTGTCAATTTACCCCCCTTAAGTTTCATCTTTTTCATTTTATTGATTTTTATGTAACTTTTCTATCATTTAGTATTGCTTATGACACCCAACCCCTTTTATTTTAAATTAATTTCCATTTAGACTCCTTTTACTTAATTAGGATATTACTTAATTAACTTTATTATGTTCTTATCTCATATGGTAACATTTTAATTAAATTTTGTCGACTTTGGTATTTAAATTTCTAATTCGTAATTACGGGTGTTACATAAAAATCTCTAAAATATAAAATATAGAAGGTTCAGTTATGTGATTGCATAAAAATATTCGTGGATCATCTTCATAATTGAAGAAACAAAGGTCTCATTTATTTTGATGTGAAAGTATATTGTTTTTCAGGTTGATTTTAATGAATGTTTTTTCATATTTGAACGTTGTTCATTTGTAACATTATTCACAGATAATCATATATTCATAAATATATGAGCAGTATTCATGCTTATAATTGTCTTGGGAAGAGGAAAAGGCATCCAGAAACAAACATCAAAAGAAAAAAAAAAACACATTGCTCAACTGTTTTATTCTCCCACGATAACACGCAGTTTTAGCAAAATTGATTGTAATTAATTAAATGGCTCTACAAATAAAAATTGAATATCTATTTTCATAACAAACAATGTTTAGATTTATCATTTAGTTCAGATTAACCTTAAACGTAACCCTACACCTCTTTTTAAAAAAAATGCTATAATCGAATCTCTTTAACCCTTATCCCTCTCCCTCAACTTTTCCTCTAGAATCAAAGCTCTTCAACCCTTCTCCATATCCCTTAACATTTCCTCTCGAATCAAAATTTTCAAAAATCAATGCAATAACGACTGTAACATCCCATAATTAAAGACCAAAAATTTCGTTTTTAATATAAGAAAACACTTAATAGCTTTGTCCCAAACATTGAAAACATTTCATTTAAAACAAATATCAGAGTCTAATCTCAAAGATCACATAATGCGGAATAATATGGGTGAATACGTTACGATCGTCCCGAGCTCCTTATATGTAAACTGAAGGTACCTGAAACCAAAAATGTAAACGGCAAGCACGAAGCTTAGTGAGTTTCCCAAATACCACATACCATACATATCAACTGGGACATACATGTCATACATATCAACTGAGCCATACATGTCATACATATTGTGAGCCATACATATCAATCATATATCAAATAAGGTGCTATGTGTCGCACATAGTCTTGCTATTATGCCACGGGCCGCCACGTGGTCTTTCTTGCCAAGTCGGGGGTCACCCCATGGGTCTTACAGAAAGAGCCGCCTCCTGGTCTTCCATGCAAGTATCACAAAGAAAACTAGCATACATACTACTCTACTTAGCTAATAAGCCTACAGTGTGCCAGGAGCCACCTCCGGGTCTTTCATGCATATTGCGTAGGGCTAACCCCCAAGTCTTCCTATCATACATAATAGCATATTGTGTGCCAAGAGCCACCCCTGGTCTTTCATACATAGTGCCTAGGGCTAACCCCCGGGTCTTCCTACCATACATAAACTAAATGGGCCGGCATTGTAGCCGTAGACCCATACAAACAGTGAGGAGACTCACCTCACAAGGTGATTGTTGAATCCCGCGAATAAACCCATTGCTGCTAGCTGGAAGATCCCCAAACTGCTGATCTTTCGACTCCCCGAGCTACCGATCATCATACAACTAGATAAGTCCGGGATTCTTATAATATTGACCATAAGT